TATTAGCCTATATTCCATTGGACATTAACGTCTAATATTTTCTTATAGCTATCATATTTTATCTTATTGATGTCAAAAGGAAAACTGCAATTAAGTGAACACACAATTAGGCAGAAAAGGAGAAAATATCTAAAATACTGATTAACTCAGTTTATATGAGAAATAGTACAGAGAAATGAGGCATAATAAACCTGAGAACGGGTTTGTCAAATTTCAGTTACAACAGTATATGGATTTCTTTTATTTCCTTGTGATTATTATTGATTAGGAGTAATGTGAGATGGTTTTAGTTCATAAAATATCTGTACTACTACTGCTTATGTTAGTAATAACACAGATAATATTGAGAGATTTGTGGAATTATATAGATTTAATATTCCATGCTTGAAGAATATACTTAATATTTTGTAACTTTCAGTTTATTATACAAAAAGGAATTTACCATCAGCCCAAATTATTACTAATCTGAATTACTGAGTGTCCACTAGAAAGACAGAGGATTTATAGGACCAGAACAGTGAAGGTTCAGGATATTATAATATGATGAATAATTTAAAAAGAGAATACTTAAGCCAAAGAGAATCTTTAGCCTGCCCAAAAGCAACTTTTTGACATAGATATTCAAAGAAAGAGGTGGGGAGCACCGACCTTGGCTGCAAGCAATAAGGGGGAGCATAGTTAGTGGAGGATTTAAAAATGATAATAAAACTGACAAAACGTTGGTCCTAACTTTTATTATCATTGTATGCTGGCTATTCTAAATAATGTCAATAAGAAAATACTCTTCCCTGAAGAGAAATCTCTGTTAGTCTAAATTCTAAACAGTTCTTGTTCCTGCTGAAACATATATATATATATATGTATGTATATGTATATATTTTAAGACAGTATACTTTAAACAACATTGAATACTACTCAAAATTATTTATGAAATTTCCAGCCATATCATTGTCCTGAAAAATGTAGTCTCAAGTATATATGATCATTTTGAAAATAATTTCTTAAGTGTTCAAAATCATTGGATATTACATCTGGTACAGTTTGTGTCCCTAATCCCTGTGACAGTAATTTTACATGAGTAATGATAGCACAGTAATTGTAAAACTAAGAAACAAAAATTGAGTTACTTCAGATCTGTCATTCTATATGACAATTTGAAGTTTTTATTTGCCTTTAAACATTTTGGACATTTGAAAGCTGCTAGAAAAAATGTAAAGGAACAAAAGCTTGAACAGCATTTTGATTTCTGGAATTTAACATGACATTGGATTTTTATAAATCTCTGCCAAACTCATCCTTGTGTTTTACACATTTCCTAAGTATTTGTGTATTTGAGGCTTCTTGCAAAAGAACGTCTCAAAATTGAAATTAATGAAGTGTGTTCTTTTATCCCTGTGAGTGATAGGTTGGCATATCTATATACATTTTCTATTGAATTTATGGATGTGAAGAACACCAATTTTGACAGAGATAATGAAAGATTTGCAAATGTCAAAACCCCAAAACAGTAGCCATGTAGTTTTTATTCATTAATGAAACAGACTAATATATAGATATAAGTTTTTCTTCCTTAAAGCATAAAATCAGCTTAGGTGCAGTGGCTCACACCTGTAATCTCAGGGCTTTGGAAGGCCAAGGGAGGAAAATCACTTGAACCTAGAAGTTGGAGAACAGCCTGGGCAACATTTGTAAGACTCTGTTTCTCCAAAAAAGAAAAAAATTAGCTGGGCATGGTGGCACACACATGTACTCCTGACTACTTAGGAGGCTGAGGTGGGAGGATCAGTTGAGTCCAGGAGGTCAAAGCTACAGTGAGCTATGATTACACAAGTGCACTCCAGCCTGTGTTACAGAGGGAGACCTCATGTCAAAAATAAATAAATAAATAAAAAGCATGCATTCATATAGCTATAAAAGTACTAGTCAAATACCCTTTTTCCTTCTTGATACTGTAGTATTTTAATGTATATGTAATTCCACATATGAAGTTCAAGAAAAGAAGCTTTTCACTGGCTATGTTTCTTCTCTGGCTATTTTTTCACATCCTGATTGCTACTAAAAATAGTTGTGTCATATAACGTCAGGGATATTAAAAATGATCCATTCTGAGTGTTAAATACATGAGAAAAGCCACTACTGGAGAAAAAAAATAAGATAATTTATAATATATTTTGGAGACAAATTTGATTCAATTTGGAAGAAACAAAGTTTGCAACCTATATTGAATATACAAAAGATATGGGTACCCTATGAAAAGAGCATTTCCTTTCCCTGGATGAGGCTGTGATTACTTTGGTGAATCAGTATGAGGGAATCAATACATGGACAAAATATTGGACTAAATGACCTTCTAACTCTGCTTCAACTCCTAAGGCAGTATTTTTCCTTCTCAAGTAAGAAAAAAGTATAATTGTGGGTCCAATACAAAAGGGGTATACCTCTGGTCAGGTAAATCTTGCTAACTCTTTTTCTTTTAGTTTCATAAAACAAGATACATTTCTCAGAAGGACTCTAATAAGCCTTATATATACCCAAGGGCATCTAGAAAGTAAGTTTGCAGTTTTATTGCATGATGCTTAATTCAATGCATCAACTTGCATGAGGCAACTCTATTAAAAACTATTTCTGGGTCTGTTGATGAGGGTGTTTCTGATAGTGACAGGAAACAGACAAATTCCTAAGCAGACAGGATGGGTCCCCTGTAAAACCCAACTGTATTAGTCAGTTTTCACACTGCTGACAAAGACATACCTGAGACTGGGTAATTTATAAAGGAAAGAGGTTTAATGGAATCACAGTTCTACATGGCTGGAGAGGCCTCACAATCATGGCAGAAGGCAAAAGGTATGTCTTACATGGGAGCAGGCAAGGAAGAAGAATGAGATCCAAGTGAAAGGGGAAACTGCTTATAAAACACCAGATCTCATAAGACTTATTCACTACTATGAAAACAGTATGGGGGGAACAGCCCCCATAATTCAATGATCTCCCAACAGGTTCCTCCCACAAGACATGGGAATTACGGAAACTACAATTCAAGATGAGATTTGGGTGGGGGCACAGCCAAATCATATCATTCTGCCTCTGGCCCCTCCCAAATCTCATGTCTTCACATTTTAAAACCAATCATGCCTTCCCAACAGTCCCCCAAAGTCTTAACTCATTTCAACATTAACTCAAAAGTCCATAGTCCAAATCTCATCTGAGACAAAGCAAGTTCTTTCTGCCTATGAGCCTATAAAATCAAAAGCAAGCTAGTTACTTCCTAGACACAACAGGGGTACAAGCATTGGATAAATATACTCATTATGAATGGGAGAAATTGGCAAAACTGAAGGGGCTAAAGTCCCCACACAAGTCCTAAATCCAGCAGGGCAGTCAAATCTTAAAGCTCCAAAATGATCCTTTTTGACTCCATATCTCACATCCAGGCCACATTGATGTAAGAGGTGAGTTCCCATGGTCTTGGGCAGCTCTGCCCCTGTGGCTTTGCAGGGTACAGTCTCCCTCCTGGCTGCTTTCACAGGCTGGTGTTCAGTGTCTGTGGATGTTCCAGGTGCACAGTGCAAGCTGTGGGTGGATCTACCATTCTGGGGTCTGGAGGATGGTGTTCTTCTTCTCACATTCCCACCAGGCAGTATCCTAGTGAGGACTCTTTGTTGAGGCTTTGACCCCACACTTTCCTTCCTCATTGCCCTAGCAGAGGTTCTTCATGAGGGCCCTGTCCCTGCAGCAAACTTCTACCTGAACATCCAGGCATTTCCACACATCCTCTGAAATCTAGGCCGAGGTTCCCAAACATCAATTGTTGACTTCTGTGCACCCGCAGGGTCAACACCACGTGGAAGCTGCCAAGTCTTGGGGCTTTCACCCTCTGAAGTCATAGCCCAAGTTGTACCTTGGCCCCTTTCAGCCATGGTTAGAGTGGCTGGGGTGCAGGGCACCAAGTCTCTAGGCTGCACACAGCATGGGGACCCTGGGCCCAGCCCACAAAACCATATTTTCCTTCTAGGCCTCCAGGCCTGTGACTGGATGAGCTGCTACCAAGGTCTCTGGCATGACCTGGAGACATTTTCACCACTGTCTTGGTGAATAACATTTGTTACTTATGCAAATTTCTGCAGATGGCTTGAATTTGTCCCCAGAAAATGGGATTTTCTTTTCTACTGCATCATCAGGCTACAAATTTTCCAAACTTTATGCTTGGTTTCCCTTTTAAAATGGAATGCTTTTAACACCACCCAAGTCACCCCTTGAATGCTTTGCTGCTTGTAAATTCCTTCTGCCAGATACCTTAAATCATCACCCTCAAGTTCAAAGTTCCACAGATCTCTTGGGGAGGGTCAAAACGCCACCACAGTCTCTTTGCTTAAACATAACAAGTGATCTTTACTCCAGTTTCCAACAAGTTCCTCAGTTCCGTCTGAGATCACCTCAGCCAGGATTTCATTGGAATTCATTATCAGCATTTTACTCAGTCATTCAAAAAGTCTCTAGGAAGTTCCAAACTTTCCCACATTTTCCTATCTTCTTCTGAGCCCTCCAAACTGTTCCAACCTGTTACCCAGTTCCAAAGTTGCTTTCACATTTTTGGGTATCTTGACAGCAGCACCCCATTCCCGGTACCAGTTTACTTTATTAGACCATTTTCACACTACCAATAAAGACATACCTGGCACTGGGTAATTTAAAAAGGAAAAAGGTTTAATGGACTGACAGTTCTACATAGCTGGGGAGGCCTCACAATCATGGTGGAAGGCAAAAGGCATGTCTTACATGGTGGCAGGCAAGAGAGAACGAGAGTCAAACAAAATGGAGAACCTCCTATAAAACCGTCAGATCTCATGAGACTTATTCCCTACTACAAGAACAGTATGGGGGAAACTGTCCCCATAATTCAATTTTCTCCCACTGGTTCCCTCCCACAACACTTGGGAATTACAGGAGCTACAATTTAAGATGAGATTTGGGTGAGGGCACAGCCAAACCGTATAACTGACCTTAAGCCAAAGACAGCCGGAAACCTGAAAACCAAGCTGCCAGTTCCAGGTGGAGTCCATGACCAGAGTGAGAACGGCCTTGATGCCTTTTAGCCAATTGAACGGTGTTTTTCCAGGCCCTCCCATGGACCAATCAGCATGCACTCTCTCATTCTGAGCCCATAAAAACCCTAGACGCAGTCTCACAGACAGGTATGATTTGGGGCCCCTTCTCACACAGAGGACTATCCACTTTGGGTTCCCTTTCGTGTTGAGAGCTTTTCTGTGGCTCAATAAAATTCTTCTCTCCCCTGCTTACTCTCTGGTGTCCGCGCACCTCATTCTTCTCGGTTGCGTCACAAGAATCTGGGCCGGCAGAATGGTGGGTGCAAAAAGAGCTATAACACCTGCTCCTGCTTGTTGAACTCCAATAGCAAAAAGACCGTTGGATACCACACGCCCCTGTCCACCAAGCTGAGGGCAACGGGGAGAGCTATGACATGCACCTGTCTGCTGAGCTGCATGCAGCAGGGAGAACTGTAACACGCCCCCATTCTCCTAGCTGCAGGCATGAAGAAGTGAAGCAGTTTGACGCCATTCCCTCCTGGCTGGTTGGCTGAATTTCAAGAGCTGCAACATTTCGTGAGAGCTCAGATCTCAGCATTCCCCCGGCGAGAGCTGTAACACCCCTTGGGACTCTGCAGTTGCTGGAATTTCTGAGTTTTTAGGTGCCATCACATCCACCCTCATCTAGACTCTGGTGCCCAACGTGAAAACCTGCCGTGGCATGTCCAGTCCAGCTGTGGGCTGAGTGCAGAGTCCCTGTGCACGTGTGGGATCTGGGGCAGGATGTGAGCCAAGTGCAGCCTGCCAGGCTGAGTGGGTGGAGTGAGCCCAGTGGGCCGAGCAAGGCTGCAGGCAAAGGTCAGGGTGGCCACAGAGATTTCCGGCAGACAAAGCAGCACCGAACGAATTCTGTAACATTTCAGATGAGATCAGCATCTGAATTAGTGGGTTCAGTAAAGCAGATTGTCCCTGGCTCCTAGTGTGGGCAGGCATCGTGCAATCCATTAGGAGTCTGAATAAAACAAAAGGAAGAGGAGGAGCTTACACCCTTCCCCACTTCCTTACTGCTTGAGCTGCAACATCTCATCTCATGTTACCTGTCCTCAAACAGGGATTTACATCATCACCTACCCTGGTTCTCAGGCCTTCAAACTCACACTGAATTACATCACTGGCTTTCCTCGATCATTGGCTTGCAGACAACAAATCCCAGGACTTTTCAACCTCCCATAACCACATGAACCAATTCCTCATTATACCTCTCTCTCCCCTACACTCTCATGCTCACTCTCTTTCTCTTCTCTTGGTTCTTTTTTTCTGAAGAACTTACATAATATAGGTTGTAACCCAAAGTAATGGAGGAAGCACCAAAATCTGTTTGATTGGACCTCATATCAACAGCTTCCACCACACAGTTGTTGCTTTTGCTTTGGTTTTTCTATTTTATGTTGCTATTCTTATTCCATGGAGGTTTTTGCAAATATCAATTTAGTTACAACAGTTTATCACCTACTGTCTCTGATTTTGATTTTAGCATTTGCTAAAACAATTATATGACACAAAGAATGTAATGTAAAGCCTGAAATTAAGGTCCAATGCTATATGCTACCTTGATATGTGGTGAAATTGGAAGCGCCTCACCTGGCCTAACATCTTTTTCCTCACTCTGCTCCCTCAGATAAGGTCCCCTCACCAAACAACCCTGTTTATCAAGGGGACCAGGCCCAGTTCCTTCTTCTTCTTCTTGAGTAGTGGATTTTAGTTCCCTGACAGCCTGTGAGAAATTACTCAAACAGGCCAATCACATCCTCCTGAAGGAACCAGGGGGCACTTCACCCCCTTTATACTATAAGCTTGACTCCGCAGCTCCTGGTTGTTAGCTCTGTTCTCAAAGACAACCATCATGAGGCCCTGGGTGTCAAGCAGGTTCCTCATTCTCAGGCTGTGAGTGTAAGAGACTAATAAATTGCTATCTCATCTGCCCAGTGATGGGTGTTCTGTGTTCAACCATTCCCATAACTCTGAGGAGGGAATCCTTTCCCCATCAATGGAGCGAATAGGAAGTGATTAAACAAAAAGAAAACATGGCAGCATTAAACATAAATTTCTCTGTTTTATTGAACTGTTGTGCCACAGACATGTCAGTCTATTCATAATTGGCCATTTTTTTTAGAAATTGAAAATTACTCAAAATATGCCAAGATATCTTCTTAGGCTTTACAAAAACGACTCTGTTATTTTGAAAGTTGTACCTGTTTTCTCCTTAAAAACAGAAAAGAGAAAGAAAATATGCATTCTTCAGTATTATAAAAAGCCACATTTGGATTAGGCAATAAAAGTAAGTGTGTCTATTCATTTTCTCACTGTTTCAACATTTTTATTTTTGTGTGTCAACTAAATATTAAGACTTTCTTATATATTTATATTATTTCTCTATAATTTTATTCTATACCACTAATACATTATTCTCATTATTATATTGGAAATAGGCTCATATATAATCCACAATGTATCTTCCATAAGTATTTAGGCTTTTTAAAAAATTATTTTTAAAAACAGTAAATAGTTGTTAATATAAACCTAGATATAGGTATACATATGTAAGTGTGTGTGTGTGTGTGTGTATGAGTGTGTGTGTTTGTGTGTTATATCTTAAATGGTTAATTTTTTGTAATTGTCAGTTTTTTTGGGGGGGATGCAAATAATTCCCAACTCTTCTTTTTCTACAATAGCAGTAAGTGTCACATAAAAAGACAACCCTTTATAAACTTTGTGAGTCAATCTGCGTTCTATACTGAGTGTTACTTGTTTTATTATGTGTGACATGATCAGAGGCACAATAATTTGTGGCACCTCAGTCATGTGCAATAACCATTTCACATCAAAAAGCAAACAACCAATCTGACTTTTACCATTATACGGTTCATATGAAATGTGGTTACTTAGACCTGAAGCAGCAAGCAAGCACGGAATGCAATATTATTTAACACTAGATGTAAAAATTATTTTGGGGAGAAAAAGAAAAAGAAAATTTTAATAGAAGAGACAGTGAAAATTGATAGAAAGAAAAATCCTGGAAGAAATAAAGCCTCTGACAAGTTGAATTTGTTGAAGGCTTAGGTCCTGCTGATGATTGCCTGTGGTCTTGGTACATGCAATTGAGCAAATAGTAATTAATAAACTGAAGAGTATAACTCTTCTGATAATTCTGTTTTCTTCAAAGAAAGTGGGGAAGCTTTGATGTGAGAGGATCTCTTTTATTAGAAGGGAGTCTTGAGAATCTATACACAAGCACTGTATTTTGATCAAGTTTCTCTAAGGGCCATAAATATCTCCTGACATGCAAGTTAAAGCAGTTTGAAATTGCATAAAATCCTTGAGGAGAGTAAGGTTTACTATTACCTAACCCTTTGAAGAAATACACAAGACAGAGAATTAGAATTAGAGAATTGATTGGTGAAGAGAACTTCTGAAACTTTGTAAAGAAATGAAAGGAAGACAATGGGCAAAAGCTTTTCTTTTCTCTCTAATGTTTGTAAAGTGTATGAAATATAACTAAGATATAACTTCTTCCATTTTGGAAGGATTAGGTGAAAGGTAGAGTACCATATCTGAAGTGAAAGTAAGTGTATTCAAATAATTTTCTGCATGAGTTATTTTTAAAATGGCAGTTCAATAATTACAAAAGAAGTTAAGAGTTGTTTCTAGTGTAAAAGTTGCCATTTCTGAAGTAAATAATTTTTGATGACTGTCATCATTTCATGACTGATAAATAAGCTAGATGAGTATGTATTTAAGTGTGAAGCTGCCTCCAAAACCGTAATTCCTTCAATAAATAAGGCACAGACATAGGCTTATGCTAAACTTGGAATTGCATTGTTTGCTACTAAACCGCATAATATATTTAATTCAACAAATATTTATTGCACAACTTCTACTCTCAAAATGCAGTTATATTTGATAAAGACTGTAGTTTATATTTGCAATGGAACACAAAAGTAATTACAATTAAAAATTTGAAATGTTCATGGCCAAATTAATTTATGTGGATTAACACAGGAGGAAAACAGTAAGAGTATAATAGAGGAATTCCTTAAACTTCAGGAAGGGTAGTGCGTTTGGGCAGCAATTTGAGGATTATCTACGATAGGCACAATCTTGTTCTGGGTGAGTTAGGCATGGGGTGGAGGGACAGGTGAAGGGAGGTCAAGCTAGTGAGCACGGTGACGGTCTAGTTTGATGGGACGGGATTCTTGTAATATATGGGGAAAAGTAAGTATTGAAGAAGTAGCTTAAGTGGCAGATGATGAATGCCAGATTGGGATTTTATATTAACCTGTAAAGCAAAAGAACCCCACTGAGAGCTTGAGTAGAGAGGGATTATGTGAAGTGCTAACGCTCTGAGGATTTTAGTTTTTTATTCAACTTTTCCTACTGGAGGACCTCTGTCTCATCTAGAATTATATTTGTTGTTTTATCTGTGTGTGATTATGTGTGGGTGTGCAATGGTTTCAGGTTGAAACTTAAGAATATTCTAAATTAGATTGTTCCACTCAGGACTTCTGATGGATATCTTAGACTTAAAAACTGATCTTTTGAAATTCTTTCCTGAAAAGACATTAATTTTTGTTACTTAAGGTGCTCAGCTCATTCATCAAGCTACTTCGAACAACTTAAAATATAAAGTATTTAATTTGTATTTACACTATATTAAATTATTTTATAATACATATAAAAATATAAAAGACAATATTTTGCTTGTTACTCATGTTATTATTAATATTATTACTCTGTCATACTCTGTCATCTACTTTGCCATCATATTAGAACGTATTTAGGTTTTTCTAGTTTCTATATAGGCATAGTTTATCTTTTTACATTTTAATTCACACAAGACATTAATAATGTTAGAGACTGTCTGTGCCCCAAACCATAGAGGATAAAGAATTTTTACCCAGTTTTCTCCCTGAAGGCCCTTTATTTGCTCTAGATTAAGCAATTTCAATCTCCACATGGTCTCTCTGTCCCTAAAAACAGATCTCTAGAAATGATTTTTCAGTTTTCACATATTTGTTGCTTTGGTAACTCAACATTTGAAAGCAGAAACCTCTTGTTATCTCATTTAATGAACTAGGAAGTTAACAGTCAAAAAAGACTCAATGGTTACAGAGGATTATTGATTTGTTTTGATGAGCAATGTTTAGTAGAAATAGTATGCTTTGAGTGAACTTTCAAATTTTCTAGTAGCCACATTATTAAAAAAAGAAACAGGTAAAAATCATTGTAATAATACATTTTGTTTAATCTAATATACCTAAAATATTTTCATTCAACCTGTATTTGATAATAAAATTATTAATGAGATACATTTTCTTGTTCATACTAAGTGTTTGCAATCAGGTCTGTATTTTAAACTGCACATCCTAACTCAAAGCAGTTCTCCAAAACCAGGTGCGGCTCATGACTACCATCTCGGACAGTGTGACTCTAGACAATTGTTACCTATTCCTAGTGGATTAAAATTCATGTAATCAGTGAAGTATCAATGATTTTCATTATATAAATGAGGAAGTTACTAATTTAATATTCCTGACTTTAAATCTACATGATTGGATAGTTATACTGAAGGAAAACTTTGCTGTAATCCTTCTACAGATTCAAGTCCTATGAAAATCCAGACAATTGTGAACCTTTTGTTCCACAATACGTGGATACATCATTAAGTTACTGGAATGCTATTTTTTTCTGGTCTCTTTGTAGAAAAAAAGACACAAATTATTCACCTACCATCTTGGAAGACTGGTGTTTGTGCTTCATGACTTTAGACAAAAAGAAGCCAGTTGTCTTAAGGACAATTCATAGG